CTTACAAAATAGAATAAAGAAAAGTTTAAGTAAAGTAAAATGAGCATTTACAGCAAGGAGAGATTACATCCAGGTAGAAGGGGACAGGGAAGGATTTGCAAAAAGATGACTGAAAATTGGATCCTGGTTAATATTTGGCAGTGTTGGGTGGAATGTTTATTCTCCTTTCTTCATGTTTCCATGTGGAAGAACTTCAGCTGGAATAACACTTCTGACCACTCTCCCCACTCATTTCACTTTCCACAGAGAGTTAAATAATGAGTTCAAGAGCAGAAACTGAGCATGCTTGGCTTAGCCCATTTTGCTTTCTCCTGCTCGACCCTTTGGAGTACGAGTCTTTCTGTATGACCCTTTGGTTTGATCTATCTTTTGTTATGCAATAAAAAAAAATCCTTAATGCCTCTTTCTTCAGTTAACTTTATCAATAATAAAGTGAGCATATAACCTGTGCTTGTCTCCTAAGTCTATCATAGAAGAGGAAGAAGGGTGTTATTATTTCATAAACAATCTAATAATAGACTTCAGACATGTTGAGATAGAAGAGATGAGGGGAAAAGATGAGCAAAGACACAGATACAAAGTTTGGAGGAACGTTGAGTACATCGAATAAACAGGAATTAAGTATGAATGAAGAGAGAAATAGAAGATAAAGTTAAAAAGAAAGACTGGGGACTGTATTAGTAAGGGTTCACCAGAGAAACAGAATCAATAGGAAATATAGAGAGATATACCAAAAGAGATTTATTATAAGGAACTGGCTCAAGCTATTATGAAAGCTGAAGACTCCCACTATCTTCTGTCTGTAAGCGAAAGGCCCAGGAAAGCAGATACTGCAGTTCCAGTCCAAAGCTGAAGGCCTGAGAGCCAGGGAAGCCAATGGTGTAAGTCTCAGTTTAATTCCAAAGGCCCGAGAACCAGGAGCACTAATTTCTGAAGGCAAGAGGAGATGGACGTCTCAGCTCAAGCAGACAGAGCAAATTTGCTCTTTCTTCACCTTTTTGTTCTATTCGGGCCCTCAATAGATTGGTTGAGGCCTGCCTACGCTGTGACAGCTATCATCTTTATTCTGCCTACTGATTCAAATGCTGATCTCTTCCAGCAACACCCTCAGGTGCACTCAGAAATAATGTTTTACCAGCTATCTGGGCATCCCTTAGCTCAGTCAAGTTGACACATAAAATTAACCATCACAACTATTCTTGAAAGATCCAGAGAGCCAGGCTAATGCTTTAGAATTCATTCATAGCCAATAGAGAGGTTCTGGAGTCCTATAATTGCAGAGTATCTAATATTGGACTAACATTCCCAAAGAAAACAATGATAAACTCTAAGCAAATATTAAAAACAATTGTTTGAAGATGCTAAAAAGTAGTCAAAAGCAGGCCAAAATGGAGATGATTTGATCCTAAAAAAAAGGACCCATAAGGGGCAAGATCCACCCTTGACTTTCTTATGGGGTCAGTCCTTAGCCCCACTGAGCTAGAAGTAAAACCACACTCTTATTATAGAAGTCAGAACATAGTTAGGACTGCTGTAGTGGCTGGAAATTAAGGGGAAAAAATCTCAGAGAAAAAAGAGTCATGGAAAGGAAACTCCAAAATCTGCATATAAACTTCACTTAATCCTTGATTGACTGTTGAACTATGCATATGAGAGGTGAGACTCCAGGAAACTTAGCAGGAAAAACAGCTCTTAAAATGCTGAAGATCTAAGAAATGTTTTAGCAGCTGTCCAATGCAGGAGAGACAGAGTCTGAGGTTAAAGGGACTTGGTAAAAATTTTAAACTTTCAATAAAAACCAGAAAAGTCATGTCTTAGGAGTAATAACTATGTTCTAGGGCTAAGAAATTCACCCTAGGACTGAAGGACAAACCAACATTGGTTCAAGATAATATGCCATTAATTTAACTCCTTACTGGAACAAAACTCCTTTGCAGAGGAAGATGACAGAATTCATATCTCTACAATGTTTCAACCACAATGTTCAGTATATAATTAAAAATTACTAAGCATATAAGTCAACAAGAAAATATTATCTAGAGTCAAAGTAAAATTAGTCAAAATAAACAGACTCACAGATGACGAAGTCATTGAAATTAGATGAAAAAGAATTGAAAGTGTTAGAAACATGCTAAGGGAACTACATGAAAAAATAATATAACGGGTGAAAAGATGAAAATTTTAGGAGAGGTATAAAAACCATAGAAAGGACAAAATAGAAATCCTAGAACTAAATAAAATACAATATCATACATTAAAAATTCATTGCATGTGATTAACAGTAGACTGGACGTGACAAAACAGATCACTGAACTTGCAGACAGGTCAATACGATCATTCAATCTGAAGCATAAAATGAAAAAAATTTGCAAAATAACAAAGCTTCAGCGACTCGTGGGACAGTATTGCATGGTATAAAAGCACGTATTTGCTGTACAAGAAAGAAAAGAGAAGACTAGGATAGAACAAGTATTTGAAGAAATGTGGGATAATATTTTTTCCAAGTTTGATCACAAACAGCTACCCATAAATCCAAGAAGTTCAGTGAACTGTATACAGCAAGATATGCAACTAAGCACAACAAAGTTAAAAATAAAATTCAAAGAAGTTAGAGGAAGGAAAAGAGACATATATACAAGGGAATGAAGGCAAGAAAATCAGCTGACTTTTCATCAGAAAATAATGGAAGACAGAAGACAATAAAAAGTTATCTTTAAAGCCTATTATCAATAAAATATCTTTCAAAAATAAGGGTGCAATAGACATATTTTCATGAATAAAACCCAGGAAAATTTTTCATAAGCAAACCAACACTACAAGAAGTGCTAAAGAAAGATATTAAAATTGAAGAAGGATAATAGTAGGTTGGAATTGGATCTACAGGAAGATATAAGGAGATGAAAATATTTAAAGTATGGGTAAATATAGACTACTTTTCTTTTTTTCTTAAATTTGTCAAGAGTCAAATGTTTAAAGGAAAATAATATATTTTGAGGTTTACAATATTTTTGGAAATATGGCAATAATATTAGTTTGGTGGAAAAATAATTCCTGTGTTTGTCATTAAATACCATGTAAAAATAAGGAAGAGAGTATAAATGAGCTAATGGTCAATGGAGAATCTTGGCAAATTTTTGAACAAAGAAGTGGGCAGCAAAGTGACACAATTTAAACTATTCCTTTAGAAGTGTCATACAGTAGCATGACACAGGACAGATGAGAAGGAGCAGCATATTAGATGTATTGAGGAAGATCCCATGGGACTTGGAAACTGATTGGAAGTGGTACAGGGAAAATAAAAGTGATGTTAAACAGCACTTCCATTTTGGGGGGGGGGGTTGGGTGATAAAGTTGGTATTATCATTAAAGAAACAGGGAACTTTGTAGACAGGACTACCATGGGAAGAAAATGGTGAGTTTACTTATGGTATTACCAGGTCTGAAGTGTAGGTGAGATCATATAGGTGGAGACGGATGGCAAGCAATTCAAAGTATGGGTCTCTCCTATACAAATTCCCATCTCTGTCCTCAAAAATTTATGGTTTTTGTGTGACTCGTTTTCACCATTTGCTACATGATTTATTGAAAAAAATTTAATATATTCACGCTGTTATCAAGAGAAATATATGTAAACTATAGAAGAGTAGGAGATTTGTAAAATAGTTCGTCACAAAGTCTTTTGGTCCACCCTCCCATCTCTGAGCAAAGGAGTAGGGCCAAAAGCCAGCAGCCTCTGAGCTTCAGGCCAGACAAAAGCCACCTGCTTTGCTCTGCAGACTGACAGGCTGGTTTCTGACTATTCTTTAGTTGTTGCCTAGTTGCTGCCCATATTACCACTTACCCTTCCTTCTCTATGTCCCTGGATTTTATGATGCTCTGAATCCACCACTATGTACCCAGAAAAATGATAAGACTAGTAGGAAGAACCAAGGGACCAGCCTTTCCAATTTACCTGTCCCTCTCTCCCTTTCTCCCTCCCCTGGCAGTTATCTAATAGAGAGACCACTTATGCATTAAGCTGTGACAGATACCACTGGAGGGATTTGCCTTATGCCTACCTCATACTCAAGTTTTCATTTATTAACCCTTCTTCTAACTGTTCTGAAGTCAGCCCTACTATAAATAGAATTGTGACGTAGATAAAGATATATATATTTTTTCATTTTCATGCCCCATTCTTAAACACTTTCCCACATTTGGGGACCAATTACCAGAGGTGACCCGTGCCCTCCCACTGCCCAGCGTCCTACTCTGGTGCCCTCCAGATACTTCACTCTCCTTCTTTTCCCCCTCTCTCTGTATATCCCCTCACTTTTGAAAACTTCAACTTCCTTACTATTTCCAATATCAGTGAAAAGTTAGAAGAAAACTAGTTTAAGTGACCTAATTTAAATAATACTGTCTTTATTGGAATCCTAGCCTCAGCCTAAGAATTTGCTTTATTTTTAAACTCTCGTATAGTCAAGTGAACCTCTGGACCATGTGACAAGGGGGGAAGAAAAAGTGCAACCTTTATTTTAGTCTGTAGTATTATAACACTAAAATAAGTTAGCGCTAACTTATGCTATTCATTTTAGTGTACTCTGCTTCACAAAATATTGTTTAATATTCTAGGATGAAATCTAAATATAAGACAATGAGATCATAGTATTCTTATTTTACATATGGAAAAGCTATCCAGGCAGATCTACTTACCTTCATCATTCCCTTGAATCCCTGCTTTACTCTCTTGGGTGAAACATTATTGATAAGCATGTATAGGTCCACATTTTCTCCATCTCCTTCACATGTTTATGCTATTTTAACATCTTGCCTGCTTCACTCCCTCTTTTTCCCTATTTAGAGCTATTTTCATTTTTTGACCACTAACAAGAAATAAAGCAACTCAAAAGGTTCTTAACTTTGCCCCTTTTCTGGTCCAGTTTAAGATTTAAATCTATGTAATTGTGTAAGAGTTAAGCAAACGTTAAGAGAAAGGTAACTTCATGTCATTTCCTTACCCCAAAAGTGACTCCTCATTATGTAGATTGTTTCTAATCATGTCTTTGCCTCTCTTCCATTCTGCAAAGTCCGTCTCCATCCTCATTTGCTCCTCCTCTTCCTGATCTTCAATAGAAATTCTTGTCAGTATCACACACTTTATACTCCATATTCAAGCACTCTCAACTTGCTCCATGTGTGTAAATACTGCTTCTCCACCGAGACCATGAGGTTTTAGAGATGAGAACCTTATCCTATAAATCTTAACACATCTTGTAGTTCAAGGCATATAGTAAAAATGGAGTGACTTGAGGGGTTAAACTCTTTAACAATAAGAACCCATGAAGAGTCCTCAGTGCTCCTGGAGTAGCTTAGAGGCTTTTCTCATGGCTTGCAATTTTCCAAATAGTTTTCCAAAATGGAAACCCCGAAATATCCATTGAGTACAAAGCAGGACAGAATCAAACATCAATATCTAGTCAGTGAAGGAATTCCCAAATTCTATTTGGCTGATGTTTTCTGAACATTTCCTGTGTACGTTTACATAGTACTATGAAGAAAAGTTTGTAGAAGACAGTTTCTGGGCTCCAAGAATGCAAATTATACACTAAAAAAACGTAAAATCAAGAAATGATTATATTCTGGTGTTTTCAGGAATGAAGAAAATAGTAAATAATAGAAAGAGGAGGCTAAAAAGGATTTACCCATTTTATCTTAATCATTATGATCATCAGTTCATATTTAATTTGGTGACTAAAGGATGCGGAATCATAGTTTATCACAGTGAGTTGCATAATAGAACATAAAAAACACTTGCTTTTATGTGTTTCAATAAAAAACTAGAATTTGAATTATTATAAATTGAGTAGCTGAATGGCACTGACAAATAAGGAAACAGAGTGCCTATTCGTAGTATCATTGTAATATTGGTATGACACACTGAGAGAAAAGTAATTGTGTACAGCCAAGACAATTTTCATGGCTGAAGAACACATTAAGTTGTCTGTCTTTGAGTTGGTATATTTTATATGTTTCTCTAAAACAGAATCATGACAGGCCAATGGAAACAAAATAAAACAGAGTGTGTTATTCTGCCTTTTTTTTCCTTTGGGAATAAGCTCAGATCTGAACACACCAATGAAAGCCGTCTGGCCTTTGCTGCTGCTGAGAATCGACATGAATGTGTTGATGGATTCCACAGTTCCAATCATGGGCTGAAATCAGTTAGAAAGTAGGTGAAAGCTAACACAAAATTCTAGGTGGAGAACAAAATGCTAGCAATACAAATTACTGACTATCCCATTTACTATAGTATGTTCATTTTAATAAAACCTTGGCGAGAAGAGTAAAACCTGAAAATCATTGAGTTTCCAAGTGGATATTCTAAGAATGTACACAGCTCTGTACTGTTTCCTCCACCTGGAATGGTCCTACTCTACACAGTCCATGAGCTCATCCATTCGCTTCAATCAAGTTTCCTCTCAAACATTGCCTCTTCAGAGAGGAATTCCTAGACCTCTCTATCTACAATTTCAGCACCCCATTCCCATCACTTCTGACTCCTCACTGTGCTTCCAGTCAGAATAATCTGTGTTATAGTGCCATAATAGCTAATCCTCAAATCTTGGTGGCTTAAAAAAAAAGTTTATCACTATGAAAAATCTGCTGAAAGTTAAGCAACTCTCCTAGGCAGTCCTCCTTCATAAATCCTCATCAGTATAAACCAATACACTTTCCACAGCAAGTGAAAGTGTGGTGGACAGTCAAGGCCAGGAAGTAAAGATTTCCACCCAAAGATGACACAGATCACTTCCACTTACATTTCATTGGCCAAAGTCACACTAAACTACACGTGGACAGGGAAGTGTCATCCTCCTACGTGTCCAAGTGGATGTAGGAATGTCTGGCACATCATGCTTTATTTGTCTTCATGACACTTTTCATCTAACATCATCTAATATATTTTATTTGTTATTATTTGACCCTCCTTACTAGAATGTAAGCACTGTGAGGGCAGGGAACTTATCTATTTGTTTGCTGCTGTACCCTCAGCTCTTAGAACAGAGATTCTCAATTAACATTTATTGAATTAACAAACAAGAACACAGAAAATAATATGTTTTACACAAGGAATTACCAGTGCAAAATGCCTGAAGGACCCAGCTGTTAATATAGCAAGGGAAGCAAGCAAGGTCAGAACTGTGGCTAAGTGGAGCACTTCTTCCATTACCTAAAGGCCACTAGTTGTTGACTTGATGAATGATGGACCCAAGACAGCTAGATCTGAATTTTTTTTTTCTTTTTTTTTTTTTTTTTTTTTGTAAGCAGAGTTTCACTCTTGTTGCCTGGGCTGGAGTGTAATGGCAAGTTTTAGCTCACTGCAACCTCTGCCTCCCAGGTTCAAGTGATTCTCGTGCCTCAGCCTCTCGAGTAGCTGGGATTACAGGTGCTCATCACCATGCCCAGCTAATTTTTGTATTTTTAGTAGAGATGGGGTTTCACCATGTTGGCCAGGTTGGTCTCGAACTGCTGACCTCAGTTGATCCACCTGCCTCGGCCTCCCAAAGTGCTGGGGTTACAGGTGTGAGCCACCATGCCTGGCCTACTAGATCTGATTTTTTTATAAGAAGTTAAAAAATCTTGATTTTTAAATGAAAGCTTTGATTTTTTCATGTGGTTCAAAAGTTGTCAAAAATGTATGCAGGTCATACCCAGCAAACATGAATGTTAGTTTTGAAGAGTGAGTTTTGAGATTTACAAAGGTTCAATTAAATGAAGAGAAAATAAGAAAAGAGACAAAATGTAGAATCTCCATGTTCATCTCTTTGTCATCTAAACTGTAATTTGGAGGGATCCCGGCTCTACCTCTTTCCCTCTCACCCCTACTTCTCTTTACCCAGGAATTTAGAAAACTACCTCTATATTTAGTGTTTCATTTATTTAGTTTTGAATCCTTTGAATTGGAGTCAACCTTGCCTTCACTGATGTTATTGTGTGTCTTACATAACAATATCTAAACAAATGAGAAACCATAGGGAGAGATCTTCAAGGTGAAAACACTTAGAATAAAGAATTGCTGTGATTAAAATGGCACTGGCAGTATAAAAGATCTAATATCTATTTCATGTAACAGATGAGGTCCAAACCAGGGAACTCTTCTCTGTATCCAATAATTTGACCCGATTATATCATGTCTTTTTCTCTTTGCCCTAAAGTTGAACTTTGTATATAGAGGGGCTCACAAACACGTTTTCACTGTAAAGAAATGTTGTTTTCCAATGTATCACCCAAGAGGTTTTAATTCAGATGAAAACGTTCAAAAATTAAATTTCCATATTTCTTTGGACCTAGTTTGGGATGGTTTAGCAAGCAGTCTTCATATGACTTTTCTTGTCTGGAAGGAATTATCACTGGGCAAGCTCAGTGAAACTTTAAGTGCAATTGTTCATTTCAGTGGCCCCAAGCCCATACCTGGGAGTTTTCCAGTTGTGGAATCAATGAAAAATGCCCCAGTCAGGGACACGGTACTAGATTCCAGGCAACCTGCTTTTCCAAGGAAGCACTTGGATTAAAACAGGCCTGCCCCTCCTCTCTTACAAAGAATTCCACCACCCTGTTCCGCACCCCCAGATAGCCCTGGGTGCGTACTGCTCCCATTTCAGAGCTCCGTTGTGATGTTTGTCACATGTTGGCTTTAATTCCAGGACAATGCTAGAGAAATAAGAAATACCCAGCAACCTTTTGCCTGCCCAGGCAATCCTCCAGTGGAAATTCTCACAGCGAATAGATTTCTGGTGGACATAGACATGCTTGTAATTGACCTTCTCACTAGGCCCTACACATTTCTGGATATCATGAGTTTCAGTATTGTCTGTCTTGAAATAGATAAGGCCTCTTGTCCATGGTTTATAAAACAAAATTACCAAGACTGAAATTGGAAATCTTGTTCTTACAGAGGCAAATGAAAATATGAAAGTCTCTGGAGACACTTCATGAGCAAAAGAAAATTACTTTCATAGAATTCTAGAAATAATTTATTTTAGAAATTCTAATATTAACTTGATTCTGAAAATAATTATATCATTATCTCTCCAAAAGAGTTATCTTCAAAGTGGCCACTTATTTGACAAAAAAATCAGTTCAGTCAATATAGCATTTTAAGATTATGCCTTCAAATTCCCTTTTGCATACACACAAATGCAACCTAACAAACAAATTGAAGTGAGCCACCCACTGGCTGGGTAACTGACTTGCCAACTTTCCTTTAACTGGTTCTGGATTAAAAGGTCTTAAATGACCATTTGAAAGCAGGTACTAAACTCCTAAACAGGAAGAGGATGTTAGGAGTGGGAAAAGAAGAGGAAGAATTGGTAATATGAGAAGAGTTTGCAAACCAAAGTGCTAATATACGGAAAGAAATAAAATTCTGAGAAAGATAGCCAACAACATCAACTATTAGGAGATTAATTCAATTCAGGTAAAATTAAAATAGTGGAGAAATGATTAAAAGATCTGAAAATGCATATGCTTAGACTCTTCAGAGTGATAAATTATGGGTAAAAAATAAAAAATAACAAGAAATAATGAAACCAAACAGGCAGAAATAAAACAATAATAGGTAGATGAGAAAAGAGCCAACTAGAAATCTTTAAAATGAAAAACATAGTTAAGATTTAAAACAGTTAATAGCTGGACAAATAGGTCTACACACGTGACAATTTTATGAAATGGAAGGTTGTCTTGAGGAATTCACCAGGAATAAAGCATGAAGGAACAAGTAGATTAAAATTATGAAAGAGAAGTCAAAGACATGGAGATTCAACATGATTAATCTCACATTTATTGTACTGTTTGAAATCTGCTAGACAAAAACAGTAAACATTAATACGATTCAATTTATAGTATTCTAAATGACCAAAGGCAGATCAGTGGCTGCCTGGGAGGGTGGAGCAGGGAACAGCAGGGAGCTACTTTTGGGAGTGATGAGTAAGTTTGTTATCTTGATTGTGGTGATGATTTCATAGGTTCACAAATACATATATCAAAACTTATCCAATTGTACACCTTAAACATATGTAGTTTATTGTAAATCATTTCTACCAAAATAAAGCCATTTTGATAAGTATTTCTTTTCTAAAGAAAAAGACAAGAGAATCAAGAAATACTAAAGGAAATTAAGAATATCTAAAGAAGATTATTTGAGAAGACAAATTAAACACACTTCTGGCAAGATCAATCAACAAAAACCAAAGGAAAAACAAATAAAGTCTAATATTTGAATTCAAGATTTTAAAAATTACAATTTTATGCCAATAATGTGGAAACTTAGATGAAAAGAACCAATTTCCAGAGAAGTATAAACCATTAAATTGAGTAAAGAGGAAGTAGAAAATAAGAATAAAGTAACCACTTGCGACTGGGTGTAGTTGTTCATGTCTGTAATCCCAGCACTTCGGGACACCAAGGTGGGAGGATCGCCTGAGGTCAGGAGTTCAAGACCAGCCTGGTCAATATAGTGAAACCCATGTCTCTACTAAAAATACAAAAATTAGCTGGGCGTGGTGGCTTACACTTGTAATCCCAGCACTTTGGGAGGCCAAGGCAGGTGGATCACCTGAGGCCGGGAGTTCGAGATCGGCCTGGCCAATAGGGTGAAACCCCGTCTCTACTAAAAACACAAAAATTAATTGGGTGTGGTGCTTCATACCTGTAATCCCTGCTACACAGGAGGCTGGGACAAGAGAATCACTTGAAACCAGGAGGCAGAGGTTGCAGTGA